AACATTACACACACACACACACACACACACACACACAATTGTTTATATGAAGAGAACAGTGCTCTAAAATCCTGGTGAATTTTTACGAGGAATTTTAAAAAGTCCAATCTGATGCATAACTGTGGTGGGCTAAACTTAAGACTGGAAGAATAAGGAACTGAGGGAAATCTAAACTGACAAATTCATTGACTGACTGGAATGTGCTCTTGGACTGTGGTCATGTTTCTTGCATGCCTGGTTGAAAGATGAAGAGATGCACCCACCAGCAAGGGGACGTCTGAGAGATTTCCCATGAGAGAATGTGACCGAGGTTTTTCAGAACCCTGTATAAAAGATCTACTTGTATCCCTCTTTGAGGTTCCATTCATTGAGCTGAATTGTTACCCTCTGTGAGCTTTGATTCCTAGATTTTCATTGAATGTAAGCCTCTTCTGTATAATACTGGTCCTGACACAGTCTTATAATCAGATGTCAGTATAACGAGTTTAAATAAAGAAGGAAAATACACAATCCGAGTGCTTCTGTGCAAGGTTTCTGTTTTGTTTTGCTAATGTCCACTGGTCTTTTAATGAAGTTACTCAACAAATGGACAGGATCATCAGGCTCAGATTTGGGTGAGCAGGGCTTACAATCCTGGCCGGGGAGGTATGGATTTAGTGAGCCAGTTCATCCATCCAAGTGTGCCTGAGTGTTTGAGAATGACCCCTTTGCAAAGACAAATGGCGGTCACATCCATGCATTCCAGGATCAAAAACTGCTAGTATCTCATTGGTCTGAGAGAAGTTAAGGTGCTTATGAATTTACGTGCATCTAAGAACAAAAAGTGACATATATTAAGGCATCTGCTTTCTGTGCCACATAAAGAGCAAGCACATTGTGCGTTCTCACAAATATTCCTATGTTGCAATGTAGCCTCTAGACGCCCAACGTTTCCCTTCCTCTTTCATTCTCAATCCTCTTCCTCTGAAAAATGGACGATTTTTTACATGCTTATCACAGCATGTAGTGGACACAACACAGTCCTGGGCAAGAGCCCTGGAATTTAGTACATATGCAAAGCATCCAAATTACTAATAAAATCTAAAAAAATGAACATTTTATATCCCACCCCTGCCATAGGTACTCAGAGTAAACCCCAAAATGCTGAAGCTACTCCCACATTAGCTAGAAAGCTTAAAATTGGTCCACACATAATCCAAGCTATCCCTTCAGAACAGGGAGGAGGAATGTTACCCACAAGTGCCTCAAGATATCTCCAGTCATCCGAAAAGGTGACATTTTGCTACATAGTCCATGACACACTAATTACTAGGAAAGGCTAAGAAGGGAGATATTCGAAAATCTCCCTAGAAATGGGGAATGGGGCTGGGATTTCCATGGCACTTGAAAAACGGAAAGCTTCCATTTGACTTACATGTTGACTGAAAAACTGAAAGCTGGCATGCACATAGTGCAAGACACATATTACTTTCAAAATCTCAAAATGGGGCATTTTCCACCTGCCAGTCAAAACATAGTGTACAGACGTTAGAACAGAAGCAAGCATTCCAGCACACCCCACACACGGGACAGAATATGGGGCTGGCAGCAGTTCCATTGCCTCTTCTTCAGGCTTGGAACAGGTGAACAGGGCACTTCTTGTAGAAGCAAACAAGAGAGCCCAACCGTTGCAGAATGCAAGCTTCATTTACTAGTATTGCTATACGGCGTTCCCCCGCTAGCCACTTCACAACAACATCACTGAATTCCTCAATCCAATACAAAATCCTGTCTCCTGTACACAAGCCTGCTGCACCTTGCTGTATGGAAACTTTCTCCTAGGAAAGTCTGTTGACCCATTGGAAAAGTCAATTGGGGAAGCCAACGATCAATGCTGGCTAGAGCCAAAATCTGGGATGGGAGGACTTGGAGCCAAAGATGGGCAAGGGCTGCAGCATGGCAGAACTGCATTGCTCTTCCCCTTTCAGTTCTGTCCTATCGATCACCCACTCTTATGCACACCCACAAAGCAGATTAGGAAGCTATTCCCAGGGTGGCCGACCAGAGAGCGAGAGAAGGGCCACAGTGCCTAGAAAGTCAGATGACGGTGATGGCCCCATGAAATCAGGCTTCTATCTATATTGATATCTATATACAGTGGTACCTCGGGTTAAGTACTTAATTTGTTCTGGAGGTCTGTTCTTAACCTGAAACTGTTCTTAACCTGAAGCACCACTTTAGCTAATGGGGCCTCCTGCTGCCGCCGCGCCGCCAGAGCACGATTTCTGTTCTCATCCTGAAGCAAAGTTCTTAACCTGAAGCACTATTTCTGGGTTAGTGGAGTGTGTAACCTGAAGCGTATGTAACCTGAAGCATATGTAACCAGAGGTACCACTGTATACATCTATGTTGCTACCATTACTTCTGTTCAGCAAATGAAGTGCTTCTGTACATTCCACCCTCAAAGCGCTATAACTGCTACCTTGTCAACAAAGGAGTTGGTGAAAGAAGAAATTAAAACATTTTGTCACGTTAATAAAATACCTGTTTTGCTAATAGCACTAGCCCATATATTATTTTAGTGATTTTTAGCTGAACTCTAAAAATGATCCGGAGCAAACTTGTGTGAAGTGCTGTTTGATGCTTTTATAACCCTATTTTTCTATTAATCTATCTGCCGATCCTAAAACATCACATATAGTAAGAATAACTCCTTGTTTTTTTGATTAACACTTCCAATTTGCCGTACCTTGCAGTGTTTCTTGCATTTAGGACAACCTGAGCTCCGCCATGTTTTCTCCATTTAATTCATCAGAGCATAATGCTGATCTGCTTTGAAGTCAGTTGCAAAACCCTTTTTGGCAGAAGTGGCACAGGCAATATCTCAGCATGTTTATGGAAAAGATTGTGATAACGATGCTAATGCAAAGTCGCACCCCTGAAGAGTAGGTTTTTCTTACTGATGGGAGTGGCTGAGCAACAAGTAAGCAGGACACAGACACAAGTGAATCAGTAGATTAATTCCAATGCATATGTCGTAGGTTTATTAATACATGCTACATACCCAGTCAAGGATGCTTGAGTTACAATACTGGTGGCATTCCAAGTCATGCCACTTTTATATGCAAGCTCTTATTGTATGATGGGCATCTGTCTCTTTATGTCAGGGAAATGGGCTTCCAAGGCTTTCCAACTGGCCTTCAGAACCCTTACCAAGCCACCCACCAACTCCAGGCTAAACGTCTCACCAGACCTGCTCCATGTCCTTCTTGAGTGATTTTTCCTGGTTGGACTCTTGAATTCTGATACCGGCTCTTCCTTGCCTTCAGAGAGGGGTGTGTCTCTCTGTGTTGAAACTAACCTATTGTATTAAGGTAAAATTTGCATTCATTGCTCTGCCCCCATTTGGTTTCTGGTGCTGCCCACCACTTGCACTTAAAGGTAAAAGGTAAAGGACCCCTGGACGGTTACGTCCAGTCAAAGGCAACTATGGGGTGCGGCACACATCTCCACTCCAGGTCGAGGGAGCTGGTGTTTGTCCACAAACAGCTTTCCAGGTCATGTGGCCAGCATGACTAAACCGCTTCTTGCACAACAGAATACCATGATGGAACCAGAGCGCACAGAAACGCCATTTACTTCCTGCTGCAGCAGTAGATATTTATCTACTTGCACTGGCGTGCTTTTGAACTGCTAGATTGGGTGGAGCTGGGACAGAGCAATGGGAGCTCACCCTGTTGCGGGGATTCGAACTGCCGACCTTCCAAACGGCAAACCAAGAGGCTCAGTGGTTTAGACCACAGCGCCACCTGCTTGCGTGTAGCGCCAGGCGGTTATGTGGTCCTTGGGCTCAAAAAGTTTTACCACCCCTTTTTTTTATGCTACCAAGGAGCAGACAGCTGGTTATAGCACAGCTGGTATCCAGACTTGTTTCTTATTCTGGGAGGATTAGGCCATGTCCTGATCTCCCCAATTTTGGAGCACCTGCACAGGTTGTGTACAGTCCCATACCCTCCAACATTGCTCCAATGAAAATAGGGATGTCCTATTCCATAATTTTTATTTTTATTATTAATACCCTGCCCATCTAGCTGGGTTGGCCCAGCCACTCTGGAAGGCTTCCAGCATATTTAAAAACCTAGTAAAACATTAAAAAAGATCTTTCCTACATAGGGCTACCTTCAGATATCTTCTAAAGGTTGTATAGTTGCTTATCTCATTGGCTCAAGGGTTGTATAACTCTATACTCTCCAACATTTCTCTGATGAAAATGTTGTTGTTGTTGTTTAGTCGTTTAGTCGTGTCCGGCTCTTCGTGACCCCATGGACAAGAGCACACCAGGCACTTCTGTCTTCCACTGCCTCCCGCAGTAAAGTCAAACTCATGCTGGTAGCTTCGAGAACACTATCCAACCATCTCGTCCTCTGTCGTCCCCTTCTCCTTGTGCTTAAGATAACCTATTTCTCAGTCAGAGACTGAGAGGGTTGCTTAAGGGTTAAGGGTTGCAACCCTTAACAAACCACAATGCCCAGAATTCTTTGAGGGGGAAAATGTGCTTCAAATGCGCTTAAGGTATAGTGTATACTCAGCAATTCCCTTCGCCTAATCTAAATGTGTCGTGTTACATATTTGATATCTTACTACCTTCTCAGAAGTAAGCCTTACTGAGTTCAAAGGGACTTACTCACAGGTAAATGTGTATAGAATTGCTGCCTTAGCTTTCCTCACCTCTGGTTCAAGTAGTCTTGCCTTTCCTGGTACAAAATATTTCATTTCATTTCCCTACTGAGATCTACATGAATATTTTTGCATGGTTGATTCTTTGCGGCAAAAAAACTATGTTGGGATCTTCAAACATGGCAGACACTAGGGGGAAATTAATTGTGTGTGGGGTATCACATGCAATTTGGGCTTCCCTTCTCCTTTCTCCACAGGCGAGACCTGAGCAGACAGAATCACAGATTTGTAGAGTTGGAAGGGACCACAGGGGTCATCTAGTCCAACCCCCCGCAATGTAAGAATATTTCACTCAATGTGGAACTCAAACCCACAACCCTGAAATTAACAGTCTCATGCTCTTTCAACTGAGCCATCCCTCTCAGATAGAAATGATTCTGATAGGCCACATATTACTTTACTTTTTTTTAACAGGGTGTATTTCTACTTCAAGTTTATTGCGGCCAAAGCCAGTGACACTAAACACCACAAGATCAGACAACAAGAAATCAGCAACAACTTCAGAAAAGAAAAAGGTTACACAAGAGAACTTCACAGTGTGCCATTCAACAGAAGAGATTTACGCTTCTTAATTACTAAAGTGCAAAATTTAGCCACCTCATATGATACTGAGCTTGAGGAATCTTCCAGGAGGTGTTTTCGAAGAATTTCAGGGGAGGATTCCAAATAATATTGAAGGGGTATAAATTTTGATAGAAGCGGTAAAATAAGTTGAACTCGTTCTTCACTATAGAATTCGCAAGATAGAAGAATGTGTGTGACAGATTCTACCTTATTAGACATACAAGGGCAGAGACGCGCATGCATTGGAACTCGCGTGAATTTGCCGTACAGCACTGCTGAGGGCATTGTCTCAAAGCGGGCTCTAGAGAAAGCCCATCTATAGGTTTCGTTAGTGATGTTAGTTAAGTAAGGGGCAGCTACAAAATTAGGCCAAGCTTTTAAACATCTATACGTCTCTGGGAGTAGGGCGCCTTCTTGTTGTAATTCGATATCATAAAGTCTCCGAGTGATAGTAGCTTTTGCCTTGTTCAGAGTTCCAATAAAAATATTTTCAGGGTTTAGGCCAATTTGTTTGATCTTGTTAGTTATTTGCATAAGCCAAGGAGGATAGGGAACTGCGGCCAGGAAGCAAGGTAATAGACCCTTAGGATTGTAATGGATTTTCAGCCAGAGGGATATTGCTTGTTCCCAGACTTTTAATTCCACTCTGGGCAGTCCTGCCTCTTGCCTTAAGACTGCATTAGGTGTACACTTAGGAGTAGCAAATAATGATCTTAAGAATTTAGATTGTACTGTTTCAAGGGTCTTAAGGTTGGCAGAGGGGCTAATTTGAGAGCCATATAGAAGTTGGGCTAAAGATTTTGCCTGAAAGACTGTTAGGGCCATCGGGAGGAAGCCAGCTCCTTTCCTTCTGAATAATCTAAGGATAGCATTTGCACTTCTTTCTGCTGATATAGCTGATGTGGTCAAGTGTGTTGAGAATTTGGCATTATAAGAGAAAGTAATGCCTAAGTATTGGAAGGTCTTAGTCTGTTCAATGGCGTTTCCCTTTACGCTCCAATTATCCTTCCTAAAGGAGCGGTTAAAATGTACAATTTTGGTTTTGGCAAAGTTAATTGTTAACAGTTCAGTGTTACATTGGTCACTAAACTTTCCTAAGGCACGTTTCAGACCCACTTTGGTTTGAGAGAGAAGAACAGCGTCATCCGCATACATTAAAATTGGTACTTTTCTGCCATTAGAGAACACAGGGGGGTGGGTTTCAATTTCACGGCAGCATGTGACCAGGGAGTTAACATAGATGTTAAATAGGAATGGGGCTAATAGGCATCCTTGTCTAACTCCTCTTTGGACTAGGATTTCTCTAGAGAGTCTGCCGTCCTGTGCAAGTCTTATCTGGAGGGTATTGTTCTCATGAAGCTTAATCATCAGAAGTAATAACCTTCTGTTAATACCCATATTGGCCAATTTGGCCCAGAGCCTGCTCCTGGATACAGAATCAAATGCTGCCTTTAGGTCCACAAAGGCCGCATATAATGACTTTTTCCAATATTTCGCATACTTATAGACAAAGTAATCTAACACTAAGCAGTGATCAATGGTGGAACGTCCGGATGTAAACCCTGCTTGTTCAATTTCTAGCAAGTTATTGTGATCTAACCATTCCCATAATTTTAGGCATAGATGTTTTGTATAAAGTTTACAGATCACATTCAGGAGACTAATTGGTCTATAATTAGATGGATCAGAGGGGTTGCCCTTTTTAAATATGGGAACAATTATAGCTAGTCCCCAATCTTTAGGGATTTCAGTTGTCTTATCTATATATGAAAATAGATTAGCAAGGACCGGGGCCCACCAGTTTATTTGCGCTTTCAGAAGTTCAGCGACAATGAAATCACTTCCTGGGGCTTTGCCAGATTTCATTTGTAGAATTAGCGAAGTGATTTCAGTTTCAGATGTTGGGGGCCATGATGTATCATTATCTAAGGGGATGTTGAGCGGCGCAGAAGGACGATGTTCCCTAAACAGCACTTTATAGTGCTCTTCCCATGAATTTGCAGGGATTATTGTGCCCTCATTAGGAGCTTTGGTTTGACTGGAGATAATTTTCCAGAAGTTGGAATTGTCTTTTTCTATTGACGCTTTTATGAGGGCCTGCCAGATGAGAGAGTCTGCGGTTCTTTTTTGTGTTTTTAATAACTCTTTGTAGTTCTTTTTTTAAGTTGTAACTCCAATTTAGTGATAGGGCTAGGATTTTGCTGGAAGACCTTAAAGCATTCCCTGAGTATAAGTTTTGCCTGAGTGCATTCGTGATCAAACCATTTTTTGTTGGTAGGGAGTCGCTTTGGTTAGATCTTCTGGGTCTTGACAATAACGGTTGGAGTTTTCGGATTAATGTATTATAATGGTCAATTGGGGAGGTCTCTTCAGTGTCGTTGGAAGTCAGATCAGCCCAGAGGAGTTGACCTTCCATTGATTGTGTCCAAATACCAAAATGGTTATTAACATAAGGGGACCATTTAATTCTGGATCTGCCTATTTGTTGTAAAGCGCTAGGATCAGGAGTCTGCGGGGCAAGCCCACATCTAGAGGGTTCCCAAAATTCAGTCCTTTTAAGATTTAGGGGTAAATGGTCACTTTCGGTTCTTATATCTACAGTAAATTCAATTTATTTCAACAAAGTTCATATGACAGCATGGACTCCAGCCTTGCACCTTTACAAAGCTTCAAAGAATATTATGCCACATACCAGTGGGTTGCCACTACCCATACTCATAATGGCCATTGTCGTTGTTGTTGTTGGTAGCAGATGGAATGCAGCAAGTGTGAGCCATGTATTGCAGATACCACACACAGTGTCTGAGCGATATAAACCAGAATGGGTGTGAGCTGTTGATCTCCATGGTGGTTGCTGTTGGGCAATGTCTAGGCATGGCATTGTAGTGATTATTCTAGGAGAGATGTGACCTGGTTGACCTAATGATGAAGGCACTCTTGTGCTCAGCGGCTGGTCCATTATACAGCCCTGTGTTTTAACCAGTGCTCAGTAGCAACAATAGCTAGTGCTGGGTATAGGCTAACCAGACTAGCCTGTGCACATACCATGCATTAAAGTGCTTTAACTCTTAGGTTTCGGGAATCCTTGCTTTGTTTCCTCCAGAAAAACCTTTGAGTTTTTCAGGGCTTTAATATGCTGCTGCTGCTAAATGTTCTGTTGATACGACCACTTTTGGCAAGCAGTGGCATAACAGCATATCCTCAGCATATCAAAGATTCTGAAGCTTTGAAGTCTCCGAAACATTAGCTTTGCTAATGAACTGGGCTTGTGCATAAGCCGCCTCAGTTTGTCGCACCTTCGCTTTCTGATTTTGATTTCTGCCTGATGAGACTTGCCTTTGGTTCTAGGCAGAGGTGTCAAGCTTTTTTTGGGGGGGGGGAAGGGAAGGCAGGTAAGCCCTGCTTCACATAATTGATCGCAAGACTCGCCGCACGGACACCCTTTGAATGGCAATGCCCATCAACTTTGGAGGGGGGCAGGCCTCCTCAAATATTTTATGGTGGGGAGAGCAAAGGGACATTGGTCGCTAGGCGTTGGCTCCTGTGGCACTCGGATTCTAAAGAAGTTGGGTCAAATGAACATTGCTAACTGTATGCATGCATGGAGGGAACTTGTGTGGGTAAGACACTATAGGGGTACCTCCGGTTGCAGACGGGATCTGTTCTGGAGGTCCGGTCGGATCCCGAGGTTTCCGCAACCTGAGGACAGCTTCTGCGCATGTACATGTGGCAAAACCTGGTAAAATACTTCCGGATTTGCTGCTTTCACATCCTGATGTTTATGTGACCAGAGGGTTACATAACTGGAGGTACTGGAGCCAGCATGGTGTAGTGGTTAAGAACAGTGGACTCGTAATCTGGTGATCCGATTTGTTTCCCCACTCCTCCAAATGCAGCTGCTGGGTGACCTTGGGCCAGTCAGACTTCTCTGAAGTCTCTCAGCCCCACTCACCTCACAGATTGTTTGTTGTGGGGGAGGAAGGGAAAAGGAGAATGTTAGCTGCTTTGAGACTCCTTAGGGTAGTGATAAAGCGGGATATCAAATCCAAAACTCTTCTTCTTCTACTACTACTGTATTTATATCTTCTTTTTGAAGTCACTTCAGCCTCAGATGTACCCCTACATTGTAAAAACTCCTCTAAGATAGTGAGGTTGCTGCTGAGATAACTACTTCAAAAAACCCTCCAATGATGCCACTAAGGCGGCGTAGTGCCTGTTTTGTTATTTAACTGTGCTATTTTCTGCTGATGGCTTCTGCTCCTCTGTTTTGAAATGTGCTTACCTATACGTCTCCAGATTGTCGGGAGAGAAGATACATCTTTAACTCATTAGCTATAATGCATACATTGTGAAATAGGGGCAGAATCGTATCTCTTATCATGATCACTGGACTCACAAAGGAGCACATGTGTCTGTTCGGAGAAGCTTGACTTTAATTATTATAAACTGCTCACACATTGACTAATACTTTAAGTGTACTGTAGGTCAATTTGTAACAGATGCACAATGAATTGCATCTTCCTAAAAGTGTGCCTGTTTGAGCTTTGGTCTTCTTCATTTTTCTTACAGCTACCTGCCCTTTTTATTTTGTGCATCACCACCCTGCATCAGGGATCGGGGGAAAATTCAGCTCAGTTCACATTTAAAGACAAATCTACCAAATCTGCACTTCTGCAAAGTGGAACCCAGTTGTTCTTCAAAATTCGCAGTTTCCTGAATTTTGCAGTGCAGTTCTCTGGCTGAGTGATGTGTACAAAACTGCATACACTAGGGTAAAGCCAGTGTGGTGTAGTG